GAAATACTCGGATGCATATATGTATTATACATATAAATCTTTCTCTTGAATCACTCTCTCTATTGATGAAAACTGCATTAAAATCCGTTGCTTAGTTTAAAAAAATCTAAGCAAGTGCGTGCGTACTATAGCAAAAAGTGTGGGAAAAAAGTCTTGTTAAACATTTTTTGGTCTAGCTCCCATCCGCTAAGAGCGTGTAACGCACGATAAGGCACTTCGTTCCAATTATCTAGTTCATGTAAGAACTGAAATAATTTCTTCCAATTTAACGGGCTTAACCAGATAATCTGCAGAATTATTAATTTGCCTATATTTTAGGTATCTAGGGATTTTTCTCTCTTCAAGAGTCATTGTAACTGTGAATTACCTATCACTCAGGCGGACTGTGCTCACTGCTGCTGCATAGCCCAGAGACGCAAGCCCATTTGGTTTCCCGTAGTTTGGCCCGTAGTTTCTTGAATAATCTGAATAATCAAGATATAGTTCAAGGTTAAAGAAAAGATGCGGCTTTGTTTTCATTGTTGTCTAACCAAAGGTTATGCCTACGGCTAAACCTTTGTTCAGTCATGTCCTTCAGTAAGTTCTCTACTAGTATTTATTATACCTATATCTTATTTATTCTCGTAATGTTAGTAAATATTATAAGACATTTTATTAAGGATTTTTTATTCGAGACTTTATCCCTTCATCATCATCATCAGCCTGTCGCAGGTCTACTGCTATCTCTCCGTTTGCACGCCACTTGAATCGATTTTATCCCTTGCCTCACATTTATTTACTCCAAGACTCTCAAAACACAAAAGAGGAGGTTACAATTCGTCTGTATTTTTTTTTATGTTTGTTACGCGATATCTTCGTCAAAAGTGGACCGATTTTCAAAATTGTTTTTGTTCTCGTAATCGAAATGGTATCCTCCCGAGGTGGTCCCATTATTACCAAATAAGGATCTGATGATTTGATCCTAGAGAAATCGAAATAAACCCTCAAATTTTACAGCTCCTACAAAGTGTTATAGCTTATTTCTCTAGCTGGGTATTTGCGTTTAGTAGTAATTTTGTCATGTTGGTGAGCTGATAATAGAAGGGTCCTTGACGTTTAGGAGTTAGAAGATAACTTTTACAAAAATCTAATCTTGTATTGATCTTGTTTTATTCTTTCAAGATATTTGTTAGGTGTTTGTGTGGGGTTACAGAGATATGTGCACAAGAGAGTAATATATGAGATTACGAAACATTTATACAAAATAAATGTATGTTAAGCAACTATTTTCATGTTTGTTACCTCAAAACTCATTTGTAAATCGATTATTTCATTTTGGTTCATTCATCATCATCATCCACACGTGAAGAAAAAAACACCACTCCTAATTTTGGTAATTTTCAAATGTAACATCTTACTGCCTTATCCAAATAAAGTAACGGTACGGTAACTTATTAAGCTATATTTAGTAAAATCTAAGACACTACAGTTGAGTACTATACAATACGGTACGTAGTGTTTTAAATATCGTACTTATCTCCTCATTACAAACATCCCTCCTCACCTCATCCTCACTAATAATGTAAAATAAATCCTATTGAACCGCAGTCGCTTCAACTTTTTTTAAACAATATTGACAAAAAAAAGTAAAAAAACTTTAATAAGTACCCTCAATATAACAGGTAACATTATAATAGCAATAGTCCCTTCTAGTCGGTTTGAAGTCGATGCCAAGCCAAATAGGTGCTTGATAGACTTGGTAGAATGTGGCGAAGTCGATGCCAAGCCAAATAGGTGCTTGATAGACTTGGTAGAATGTGGCAATTCTTTGACCACTTAAATTCAATGAATAAATAATTTGGAGTTAGTTGTTGAAAACAATGTTGGTACCTATAGAATGTTTTGTTGTCTACTTTTATTTAAGCGTCTAAACCTTTCGAGTACAGAAGTCTTAGTCAGTCAGGTTCTTTTATGAATCTAGGTTTGGAAGGAAAGAAAAGGAACTCTCAATATTAAAGCAAACATTCTATCATTAATCTTGAGACAAGATTTTGATTTAATTTGTTTTTGTGAAAAGCTCATTCAATTTTGTATTTATAATAATAATAATATAACAATATTTTCACATGTTCCACACAAGCAAACTAGGCAGAGCCTGTACTATGGGAACCAGACTGCCCTCAGAGGGCATTGACGGTTAGAGCCATACGCGGTTACCGCACCGTCGACAGAAGCGGCGTGCGCGTAGGCCGGAACTCCTCGCGAAGAGGCGGATGTGCTCGCCGAAGTATATCGGCGGACGACTGAGTTCCAGGCGGTTAGCGGCAGTCGGCCCCCGCCCGAAGAAGTGCGCGAGTGGCGTGAGGCCGCTTTTCGAGCCACGATGGCTCGTTGATCGTCCCGGCTGGGGGCTGCACGTGCTGGTTTTACAGCCGTAGAGGCGCTCCAGCCGGTTATGGTTGAGTGGGCAGGGCGGCAGCATTAAAACCTTTCCTTCCAACTGAGGCAGGTCCTTTCCGGGCACGGCTGCTTCTAAAAGTACCTGCACTCGGTCGCTAGGAGGGAATTGAGTCCCGCCTGTCACCACTGCGATTGCAGTGAGGACTCGGATCAGCACACGCTGGTAATTTGTTATTGGAGAGTATCTCTCGCTATCGGTCGTCACACGCTTCATGGCTGGTAGCCACAATTGTTTTACCAGCTGTAAAACAACTGTCCTCCGCAGCGACGTCATGTCACAGAAGGAGGCGGCGGAGAAAGCCCGAGAGGATGATCTAAACTCGGACTCAATTCGAAGCCGACGACGTCATCAACAATTCTTTGTCCTGGGTGGGAATCGAACCCACGACGTCTGGCGTAGCAGTCAGGGTCACTAACCACTAGATCAACAGGACAGTCAATGTGAATGTGGTAGAATATTATATTATAAATAAATAAATAAATAAATTTATATATCTACATTTGATATAAATAAGTTTACTTAGTTACTGTACATACCTAGTTGAATCTTTAATTCGTATTATATTGATAAAAAAATACTTATTTTGTAGTAAAGAAGTTATTTGTTAAAATCTCACATTCGCAGTAATAAGACTAAGAGATGGCCATTTTGTAATCTATACTAATATTATAAAGCTGAAGAGTTTGTTTGTTTGTTTGTTTGAACGCGCTAATCTCAGGAACTACTGGTCCGATTCGAAAAATTCTTTCAGTGTTAGATAGCCCATTTATCGAGGAAGGCTATAGGCTATATATCATCACGCTAAGACCAATAGGAGCGGAGCAGCAATGAAGAATGTTTCAAAAACCGTGAAAATTTATTACTCTTGAGAGACGCAGACGAAGTTGCGCGGGTCAGCTAGTAATGTAATATTTGTAGGTACGCTACTTATCAACGCACAATAGAATTAAACAAAACTTTGCTTTCAACAACATTTATTTTTTTCTTTTTCTATAATTATACACTTTCTTGACTTCCGAACTTTGTACAATATACAAATAATAAATGCACAACTTCAGCATTATAAATCCTTACCAAGACTTGCAGGCACGCGCTATTTAAATCAGTTAGTATAATAAGCACACGATTTTAGTAGTTAAACGTAAGGTATTGGTCCCACTTTATATCATACAAAAGCACACGCCTGACTGTGATGATCTTTATTGGTTATTTTAGTGTTTTGTTTTTGATACAATTACAAGTATATTGCTAACGGTTAGGCCGCGAGATCCATAATGAACCAGATTCTCGAGTCTTATACTATTCTTAATTGACTATTAACTCGTTAGTAGTCGAATACAATAGTTACAATCATACTTAGCGTGATATTTTCATTACTATTAACTTCAAATCAACTGCAAGGAAACATGCTTGTTTGGAATCCAACAATGTTGTGGCATGTTTTGATGTTTTGCATTTAGTACGTTGACTAGTACATGTTGGACATGTTCCAAGTACAGTTCCAAGTTCTGCATGTTATCCTTAATACAATTTTGATTAACCACCTTATGTACATGAATGTAAAGTACATATATAGTTCGATTTCGTCAAGTTGTGCATCAGATTTATGTACAAATTCCAAGTTATTATGCATGACTTAAAGGTCTGACGGAACATTTAGACAAATATGCAATATTTTGAAGACTAGAATAGACAAATCGGAACAGGAAACTATAAATACTTCTACAATGATACAAACTTCATAGTAAACTTAAACGATACTAACGGTCATACTATTATCACAACGACAAACTAACAATGATTTTAAAGTATCAAACCCACTAATTCACACTTTCTCATATTGTTAAGGTGAGAAATTCACCAAAAGTCATAATAATATACATATTTAAAATTTGGTGATCGTGTACAATTGTATTTATTATCTATCAACGTAGTGCCTTAGAATAGATTCGTGAGCAAAATTATATTTTAAGGAAACAGTTGTAGTTAGGTGATAACACTGATATATACTAAGTACTCTCACAGCGGCGAGAACATTGGGAGGATTCCTTATAAATGGCACTGTGACATAGGAGTTTGTTTCTGCTTGGTTATAACTTTTATATATAATTCAATATAAACCGATATGTACGATGTCTCGGGTCGACTTTTCGATCTTTAGAGCGACTGTTGACTTAAAAATCCTATTTTACAAATATTTGGAACCGCAGAGGTGCTCTGCCTGGAACACAATTTATTAAATTATTGGAAGGTTTTTTTCTTATCTACCTAGCTATAGGTACATATTTTTTAACATATTTATTATACAATATTTAATTATTATGTACAGTGCAGTAAATAAGTAACTAATCATAACTTTCCTATTATCACATAAGTACGCAACGCTCCATACAACTTACTTAAATAAAAACAAAAGTTTCATGTTGGGATATGTACGTACAATATAAATATAATACCATATCATTGCTGAAATGCCAACAATGTGGACTAATTACTATATATGAGTCTCATCACATGAAACAGCAGTCGATTTAAAGTATAAAAATTGATCGCCGGGCTTTCATCTTATAGCGTGCGTGGGGTTATATGGTGGCGGCGGGGTCTTTGGGACCTGTGATCGATGGACAGGAGCGATGGCTGTCAGAGGGCTAGGTGGTGCATCGTCGGGTTGACCAGGAATGATGGATGCATCTCCGAAAAGGTGCAAGTCGTGTCTAGCGCTGCTGGTGGCGGGAAGCAATCGTGCTGGGTTCAGCTTTATAGCATCGTCGTATGTGGGTGGAGCTCCCGCTACTGTATCATAGTCAGGGGGTTTCTGCTGCATTGTTTCTTCATCTGGCATAGATATTACGTGTATAGGATCATCAATCTGAAATCAGAAAAAAACCATATTAGTAAACGATTAAACTCAATTATTAAAATAATCCACGCCAATACAGGCAAATACATTTGTCATATTAAGACAAAACTCCAGATTATTGGGTGAGATAGATAAAAATTATACTCAATATGCTCGTGTGGATTTAAATTTTATGATGATACAAGATACTAGAATATCCTTCAAAACATACCTGATGTGTGTCAGGCGATGTCCGATCTGTCTGGGGTTGCCTTGCAGGCGACTGTAACCAGCAACACATGGCAGCGCAAATAAGTAGCGCTCCTGCGACGATACACGCGACGCCCACGTAGCGAACGGGTTCCGCGTAGTCTTCTGCTAGACCCAACCAATTGATCAGTGCACCGGCGCACAACAGTACCATACCGTATCGGTACGGCCTCTGTGACTGTCTGCCTTCGTCTAGAGACATGCCTGCAAGACAACAAACAATATTTTAGTAAAACACTTATTTATTCTATTACGCTGTATAAGAAACATGGAATAACAAACGAACTAGGGTTTCACCATAAAATTTATTCGGAATCTACCACTTAACATACACACATAAACATACATTAAACGGACACAAAGAACACCCAGACTCAAAACAACAATTTATGAATCACACAAAGTGTTGTCCCATGCGGGGATCGGACCCACAACACTCAGCGCAGTAGAAAGCGGCGAGGGGACCCCTTAAACCACTACGCCATCCGTGCACTTAAGGTTAGGTTTATTTATGGTTCGTTCTAAACTGTAACATTTATAAAGTCTGAAGTCCGTAAGAGATATTTTCCGTAACAGATATAAGATTTGTTGTGATCACACCGTGAGTTACGGTTTTGTGGACGCATTTGTCGGTCATAGGAAGTAAGTAGTTCCGGGAGCTCGTAGCGGTTTCATCAAATGCGGAAAGTGTAATGTCATGTAGTTTACTGGGACAATGACACGGCGTTATAACGGGTTTGCGTATTCACAAACCGATGATCAAAAAGAAAGTTGGGAAAGTTCTATTTAAATGACAATACATGAAGGCAGATTGTTTTGTAAAGTAAGTAGGTTGTTAAGATCCGTGATTACGGAAAGGTCACCAACCAATTGTTTTTCTAAAGCGGCGCTGAGGAATACTTTATGAGAGATAATTGCGAGGTTCGCTGATCGAGGTTGTATACGAAGACAATGGTCTCGAAGGAGATGTGGGTCAAGTTCACAACGTGCGATCGAGCGGCGCCAGGCGACCGCGGCCTGGTCGAACATAATCTACACCCATCACATCTACGATATAATGAAAAGTAATGTTTAAATTTTGCGATACATACGCACATCAATCGCTAACTGCCTATTTTTAAATTAGCTATATTAAGGGTTCATTGCACGAATTGAGTTCTAGTCAAGCATGAATAATAGTAAATTTACAAGTTTTCTCTAATATTAGAAAGTTGAGTTACTTTAAAAATTCTATGGTTTCAATTTAGCGTAGGTTTGATGACTTTAAATCTTTAGTGGTCGTGGAAAAGTAAGCCGCATGTTACAATAAGCATTTAGTTTTTGAGATTTTATTGCTGGCATTAACTAAGATATTTAGAACATGTATATAATAAGATTGAACCCCTGACAGCGCTATTCTGGAAGTTTGCAAATATATTATACACTCTTGGCATATTTTGGCCTTCTCTGGTACTCGTTTCTACATCTCTCTAATCTAAATATCAATTTTGTTTTGTTATTGCACTTTTTCTTTTACCTATTTACGGGATATTCTTTTTCGCTGCAGTTTTCATGGACTTGTGCAGATTATTGTAATTGATAAAAAATAAAAAAACAATGTGTAAACTAATTTATATATGACAGATATAAAGAAAGAATAACAAACTGTAACGTCAATAAACTTGAAAATGATTGTTTATTGTCAATCACCTAGATAAAACATCAGATGTTAGAATCATTCATCGATTACAGTTATTGTCAGCCAATCAATAGTGTGGAATATGCTGCTTTTAGTTTAAAAATACATATAACGACGATAAGATCGTGTGTTATTGCGTTCCCAATTATCAGAACCGTGTCTTACTTTAATATAGTACCTACAACGGCTTTAAAATACTAAATGGAAAGTTGTGAGATCAGTTACCACACGCTATTATAACGTTACATGTGTAATGGTTTTTGTTCCGGTATAGTTTAAACATATCAACTATATGTTACGATTTTGTTCACTATAAAAATTATTGTTGTTATTCTGGTGTAGGTGTCATTAGATAAAAGATAGATCCTCGATCTTTTGCAGAAAAATACATTAGAATTTTTATTTTTTATCTTATCAAAGAACAAAATTGTTTTTATTTAGGTAAAAATTTAACAAGCATTGTTATTTGAAGTTCTTGTTGCTCAAATTGATGTCTTAGGTGCATTTAAATATGTGATCCCTGATCTAGAGACTGTTTTTGTGACCGTCACTTGCTAGACCACAATTTAGATTTCAAAAAAATTAAGTACTGGAAATTAATAAACAATGATAACACCATTGTAAACACTTCTGTAGCAATAAGAATAAATCAAGCCTCAGTCATCGCTTATCCTCGGGGTCATGTTAGAACGCCCGCAGCGACTGCGGAAACCTGATCAGAATCTAGGAATAGCACATTGTACACCTACGGTCCACGTAAGAAGAAGCAGAAATGCTCCTTGCATTTCACTGTGCGGTAACTGCTGCAAATCAATGGGGACATCCGTACACAACCGCACGCATCCCCGACTCACTGAGACTACCGAAACATAGTTCCAACTCACACCACTCCTCCATAAGAGACCAAAGACAGACAGACAGCAAAGGTAGCAAACTTATTAAGATATCGTCCTGGAGAGTACCGATATAAGTCAGATACAGTAAAAACATACTTCAACGTTTTCTAAAGAAGACGAGCTGTACAGTGAATTTATTCTTCAAATTAAATTATATGAAATTTCAATAATTCTTAAGTCTATGGACATAAAAAAGGTGTTATTAATTTACTTGTAATGCAAGGTGACCAGATTTCTTAATTATGGCACATAATATTTTCTAATTGCGACCATTTACAAAAATATTTCTTTACACTTCAGAAAACAATGAATCTAATATTGGTAATTAGCTACACATTTTTTTTAAATATACTTACGTCGTGTTCTCGATCGCCCGTACGCGTACTCGTAATATGGCCACATTTGAGCATAAACCATCGGATTCATCATTCTTAAATTCATTGATTGAATATAACCTTTTTGCTAACATTCACTGTACACATCATATTACTGACTAAAATATAATCTACTTATAGCTTTTGATAGCGGAGTTATGTCTATGTTCATCTCAGTTTATCTCAGTTTACCTAAGTATTGTAGATGGAATATTATAGATATATACCTAATATTATAGATTGATGAATACGTAAGCAGTATATCTTATCAGTTATATCATTCAACTGTGGCAGGTTTCGTATCCGATAAAGGACAATGGTTAAAAGTATTGTAGTTTAAAATATTCCTTGACCTCTAATTGATAAATACCTAAATATATTGTAGAGCCGCCCTCGTGATAGAGATTAGCTTTATTTGTAGTATAGATTAGGTAGTAGATATTTTGGCAGGTAGCCGGTAGCTCAATTCAGTCAAGTTACTTATGTTAGTGTAAAATTTAATCAATTATCTTTTTTACTTTTAATTACTTCTAAAAAAATAATTTCCAGTAAATTTAAATTAAGTGAAAATTTCAATCATTATAGTCTTAGGATTCGGGTCTATTCGGGTTCAACACGTTATTTAAACAGTAATTCCAACAGAAAGTATCACACATTTCTTGGGTTTATTAAAGACAAGCTATTGCGCGTGGTTACTCCCGCTTGTATGTTGGTTATGCCGGTAAAAAGCCTAGAATAGGCTATGTCCTTTCAATCAAATCGGTTTAGCGGTTATTGATTACCCATACAAACTTATATCCCTCTTTTACTCCTTTAAAGGATGATTTCTGTGAGAAATGTCCTTTCATGGGACTCATGCTATCTCCATACCAAATTTCATTTAAATCGGTTCAGCGGTTTAAGCGTAAAGAAGTAATAGACAGAAAGGATGATAAACAGACAGACAGATAGACAGACAGACACACTTTCGAATTTATAATATTAGTATGGATTGTGTTCGCAGCCCGTCACATAACTGACGTTACGAGATTAAAGATATAAATGACGCGACGAGCATAATCAAGTACGTTTATAAATATGATATGAGCATAATCAAGTACGTTTATAGTACCCTGTAATAGATAGCCATGATTGGAGGTCAAACTTCCAAAAGTCGGGATGTTTATTGGCAAGACAGTGGTGTTGCAACGTTCCCTATATGCAAGAGTGTCAAAGTGAGAATAACTGTGTTACGATGAGGATTTACCTTTAGATGGCTTTCCGATTATGATAAATAAAGATTTAAAGCATTGATCGTGCTGCTGCAGATAGGCAACACTTGTAAGCGGTCTTTTCGCCCACTCGCATTGACATAAGGCTTCGCCTCCTCGCGGTCTCAGTGGTTTCGTTAAAGCGATAATATTAGTTAAATGGATTAAGCCTGCATAATAACTTTACGTATTTAAGTTCTTATTGTTACCTTTCTTTGTTTTACAGTATAAAACTCAAAGTCTATTTGAATAGATTTAAGCGAGTTTTGGGATCAGAATTTATTTCGGTTAATTTTCGACATGTAACCTGACTAGTAGTAAATTTAGAAGACGTGTAAAAACTTTTTTTTGGGGGTAGGTGTTTCCATCCCTGGTAGCTTGTATGAAAGATTTAATGATGATTCAATTAAAAGTACAACAGTAATTAGGTATTTGTTGTTAGATTGTGCTTTAATTCTTCTCTACCTACATTTTATATATTTTTTGCGTAATTGTAACACCAGTTTCCTAATACGTTTAGCATTACGATTTGCCAAACGACTTAGTTGTCATTTTATCAGTTATAATAATTTGTCGTTTTTATATTTCTATTTATTAGCACAGTAGACAGAAAAATATGTTATATTTTTATCTAATTTTGATATACAGATATTTCCAAAATCTTCATTCGTTTTCCAAGGAGACATTAATAAAAGTATCGTTTAAAATACTCGTATATATCATAAATATGTTATCTTATCCTCAACTAAGTAGAAAAAGTATGTGGAATTTATTTATATCCTGAATAGACAAGACGACATTCAAAGGTTGTTAAAATGCCGAACATAAAATGATAAGAAAAAGGAGCAACCAGTTATTAATATTATAAGGAAAACCTTATTTGATTTAATACGAAGTAGAAACTCGATTATCAAAATAATTATTAAATTATACTACAGATTTTATAAATTAAAATTTGTGAAAAATTGGGCTAGGTGCTTCGTTTTCCCTAAAGTCAATAAAACCAGTTTTCTTTTAAGCAGGTTAAGGTCCAGGTAGAAAGACTTAATGATGATTTAATTATTTAAAAAAAATAAAATCGTAAATAAAATTGTAATATATTCTTAGGTAATTCTTAAAATATTAATAATATTCCAAATGGGAATGTGAGAATTCTTGTTTCTTTGATACGTTTTCATGCTTTAACTTCTGATTCGATTATTTTATTTATTTATACATAATCTTTCTTCCAGAAAAAGTTCTGCTTTCGAGAGATATCTACATGGTCCTATCTATCTATATAAATACATAATTGCATGTCGTTATTATATCGACATAATTTAGTATCGACCGGCTTAGGTGATAGATAACAAAGCTCTCCGGTTTATCACTATCACTCACTATGTCTGGTGAAATACATAAGTACGAGTATGTCTTTCACTCGTCACTATGTATGTCGTCGCGTAATGGTTTACTCTGGATACTTTGTGGTATTTTGATAACTGTTTGTATTTTTGTCATTACATTTATCTAAGTTCATAATAATGTTAAGATACAAGTACTACATACTTGTGCCATAATATCCCTACTTATTAATAATTTATGAATGAATTAATCAAGCTTAGATAAGCTTAGCACATTTGTCTATGCAGCGACAACTAAAATTTTTAGTAGGTTACAAATCAAATGTTCTCTATGGTCAATTAATTGTAGGAAAAAAGGAGAAAAAGAAAAAGTGACAGTCATCAGGTAGTTTTTTTTGTGAAATTTTTGTCATTCAACGAAAGTACGGCCTTACGTTTTTTTTAAATTAAAACAAAAGCATTATATATCTTTAAGTACATAAGCATATATATCACGAGTTGAAAAACAGTACTCGCATTCTTGTGTTTAACTTACGAATTAGCTATTTAATACCTAAAAAAATAGTATCTGGTGCAGTACAAACTGAAACATTATTTTTTTTTGATCGTCACCCTGTTAACTGATAAAAAAATACCTATCATACCTATATCCTATTTATAAAATGTTCAGTTGTCACAGTTAAACCTGCGTTTTAGTCACAGCTCTGCTCTTCATCCATGTTAGTTAGTTCTCAGTATATTATGTTAGCACACAATGTGTGCGAAAATGAATTTTCTTCACAATTTTTTTTCCGTATTAGTTAAAAAAATTAATAACTATTCCGCTATTCGGGGCGGAGACAAATCCAAACAAATACATCACAATAATCGTTCCAGCTTTTCTTGAGTATGTTATTAACCCGTCTTTGTTTTATTTATTAAAAAATCAAGCCACTTTTTATTGTATTAAAAAATATAATGAAATAAATACTGAACTGAAAGTTATTGGCACTAAAATACATGGTTGTGTAATATGAGTATAATATTAGTATGGATTATAATAGATTCCATGCAGCTTGTAGTCTGTAATATACCGTAATTACTCCTTACAATCAACATGGTATGTCACGCTAAAACGTAACAAAATATATTACACACTTTCAGTTCAGTATTTATTTCATTATATTTTTTAATACAATATTAAAAAATATAATGAAATAAATACTGAACTGAAAGTTATTGGCACTAAAATACATGGTTGTGTAATATGAGTATAATATTAGTATTGATTATAATAGATTCCATGCAGCTTGTAGTCTGTAATATACCGTAATTACTCCTTACAATCAACATGGTATGTCACGCTAAAACGTAACAAAATATATTACAAATTGATTGATTGAAGTTTTCCATTAAAATTTTACCTATAGTTCGAAACTGAACCGCTCGATATGATAGGTTTTGGTTGTCGTCGGCGTGTTTCTATAGACATATATGACCTATAGGTCTTCTGTAATATTTTCCATGTAGTTATTTGTGGCGATCGATGTTGGCACAGATATTAAAGTATACAGTAACAGCCAATGTTGTATTCATCAAATACAAAATAGTTAGTATTACACTTAGCACCAAAGCTCAACGAGTGCCTTTAGTAGGGGAGCCCTAGAAGAGATTTTGGGATTTACTCGAGCGTGTCAGATTGACATAGGAGGAATACCTTACACCCAGTTAAGTACCTCCACCATACATGAGCCCTTCATGTAGGGGCGATCGTCTAGAGCAGCCCATCAGTTTAGTTAAAAAAAAACGATGGCCAAAAATACTCAAGCGTGTAAGATTAAGGTTAGTTGAGTCAATTACATGCACATTAGTGTATTTAAAAAAATCAGATGATGTGGGCGTAACATGAAGCAGTTTGAAGGTCATAAAGTAAAAAAAAACACATGACCTTGACATTTCCTTTTTATTTTTAAAGCAATCTACTTTAAATGCCTACATAATTTTTCGTGCCCTTATTTGTCACATTTTATAAAAAAATCCAAATATTTCAAACCGTCAGATTTAAAAACTGCAAAATTATCGTCAGATTTTTGGCTAATATGACAGGAACATCAATCTGAGTATTTCGAAATGGCGATTTTTCAAATTTCCAGGCTGCATTTTCGATAATTCGCTACCAGCGTGTGTCACTTTAAAATCGTCAGACCTTTGAATGGGAGCATTTTTGGTGTCCAAATAACATATCCCCAAATTATCTGATGCGCCCGAATATTATTTTTTCCATTTCCTACCCTTATATTTTTGAAAAGCTGTCGAAGCTTTGCCCACCGCTGAAAGTGGAAACATTATATACATACATTAAGTGGAAACTTTTATTCATTCTATTACCTAATCTTTCAAATGCAATAGGTCCCCATGACGCTAGAGTAAATCCCGATATAGTATAATGGGCTCCCCTACTACGTCTATCGAGTAAATATTGT